GAAGTAGCTAAGATCTGTTTCCTGTTGAAGAGAGTCTTTATTTTACTAAGTCTCTCTGATCCAACCAGAAAAATATAGAGGAAAGAAATACTTTCCATCCTTACCTTTGTTAGGAATCGTGATGTATTAATGATGGTGTAATTTACTCTGATAACAGCAGCAGTCTCACTCTTTGTTTTAATTGGAATGGGTATATTGGTGTATATATATGCCAATATTTACAGGAAATTTGTTTCAATTCATTTTACCAAATGAATCTTCAATCAATTGCTATTAGTGTCTTGCATGAAGTTATCTCTCTAATGCCACCAGCTAGTGATGAGGATCTTAGTGCTATTATAATGTATGGTTTATCTTCATATGATTCTCTTTCAGTGATGCTAGATAAATATTTTTTTTTAGGCATCTTGAGTCATCTTGTTTTGCTCTGTGTCAAGGATTTTGCCATCAAACAGCTGGAGGCTTTTTTAGAACAACTGTGAGCTGCATTATTCCATATTAGCTGCTTTATTTTACGAAACCTTTTCATATTCCCCCAGATATGAAAAAAATAGATACAGGAACAGAGACATGCCCTTTTTGTGTGACATTAAGCATGTCTCATTTTGAATATTCATACACTGTATGCTACGCTGCAGACTAACGAAGAGAGATGGTGGAGATCTTAATTAAGAATATTCTTTCAAAGATTTCAGCTGCAATTTTATCTTTAGCTATTTGGAAAGTTCTGAAAAACAGGTGATCCTAAATATATCCAGTAATGTCACTTTCGCCTTTTTTGTCTGAGATAAGGATACAGGATTGGAAATTGTGAGGGATACAGGATTTCCGTATTAAAGCTGTGGTGTTCACTTTGTAAATGCCTACCATAAAGGCTGGTGTTTCCCTTAAGCTGATACAGAGTAGCCAGTGCAAGTTGTTCTTTCATGCTTGTCTCATACCCAGTTCATTTTTCTTGCTCACAAAAAAGGTTAAGACCATAAAGGTACACTTTCTTAAGTAGAAGATAGGCTTGGTTGCAGGGTCAGGACAGGAACAAGAAGCTTTAGGTGGAAGTGACTATGCTGAATAAGCAAATAGTCCTTTGGTGGACAGCTAGGGTTTGTGTTTCTGATGGTTTGAAGTGCTTGCTGTGCAAATTAAATAATGCTTTGACAATGACCATTTTTAGGAGGCCTTTGGACATCTGGTTGGGAGTTATTGTGTCTTTTAACCAGTTTGATTATGAAACTGATGTACATTTTTGCAGTAGAGCAAAACAGGTCATACTGCAACCATTTTGAGATTTAGGTACATGAGAATGTGGCAGGTATCAGAATAAATGGTGTCTTCCTAGTGCAAGGTGTAGAATAGGGATTTTGGGAGTGGAATAGGGATTTAGGGGAGATCCAACTTACTTTCATTATTTCCAGATTCTGTTTTACACAAATCTAAAGCTTTACATGAGATTAGGCATCTATGCAGCAACCTGTCCAACTGAAATGATTTCCTAAACCTCTCAGAATTATTAAATTAAGTTTTAAATTCTTTTGTCAAGGACTAAAATTCTCTACTGGTAGCGACTATTTAAATATCGGCTGTAGTTAAGGAGGTTAACTCCACTGGAGGGCAGTTCAGAGCAAGAGTGTAATCGGATGCCTTTTTTCATCTTCAGAGACCATCGATGTGAAGTCGTACTTTTTCTGTATTCAGCAAGGAGTATCTTTTTAGCCTAAAGTATTTTCTGTTGTGTCTAAACTGGATAAGTCACTACCTATGCTATACTAAACAGGAACCTATGGCTAGGGTTAAGCATGTGTGATTGCAAATCTGTGCTTTTGCATGCTGAATTCAAGTGTGAGAGAATGCAGGGTATTTGCACAAACATGAATGTTGTGTGGCATTTTTAGATCTTTAGGAAATTGTTTAATATATTTTTATTTATACACACACATACATATATGTATGTGTATATATTAGAGTTATGGTGAGATCTGTGCGCCAGGCTGAAAAATTTCTGTGATGAAATGTAATTTTGTGCTCTCCTTCAAGCTGCTTTTTTTTTTTTTAGCTATTTCTAAAACATGTGCATGGTTGCTCCATTGACCTGTGTGGTTTACAGTAATAATAATAATAATAATATTCAACCTTTGACTTTTGTCTGGATAATGAGCTCTTTCATTTTTAGAAATAGCTATTTGTCACTTAACTCTTACAGTTAGATGGTTTGAGCTAACTAATTTTCTATTTAGTGACTTTACTTTTCAGCTCAGTCTCTTCTAAGTGGCTGTACTTGCTGAAACTAATGGCATGTTTTACCAGACAGTGTTCACTTCTACAAGTGGTAATGCTTGTATGTTATGTAAACATGACAAGGCCACTGTCTCACCATGGGTGCTGTATCTGCACCTGTCGGGAGGAGTGGACAGGACAGATCATCCAAAACTGACCAAATAGTTATTCCATCCCACATATGTCATATTCAGTATAAAGCTGAGGGATCACAAGGTCTTGATCCTCCCCTTGTCTACCCTCTGATCCTTTTTTTCTCCTGCAATGGCCAAAGTCCAAGAAGAACCCTGCTAGTTCATCTGCCTCCGATCCTGATCCTTGTGTTCCTGAATCCAGTTCCTGAATTCTGCTCCCACCTGCTGCTGCGTCCGGACTGGGACTTTTCCAGTGCCCTGCTCCGCAGAGCCTCTGGTGATGTAATCATCATTGAGGGGGTGTTGCAGGGAGGGTTTTATATTGGTTTCATATGTATATTTGTACATATTTGTAGTTATTTTCCTATTTACGTTATTATCCTGTAGTATTATTGTTATTGTTTAATTAAATCTGTTAGGCCTCTCTCCCTTATTCTCTTTCTCTTCCTGCCTGGGGAGGGGAGAGTGGTTAATAGAGAGCGTCTGTCCATCATTTAGTGGCCAGTCCAGTAGTGAGAGATGGCTACCTCTTCTTCCAGGAATTCTATATTCCCATCATTCTAGGGCCAAACCATTTCCAATGACAACAGATTTTGTCCCCACACTAGCTTTGTAAATTCAGAATTCAGATCCTTTGTAATCTGTTATGGTTTGTGAAAACTAATTAAAAACTACTCAGAACCTCTAATTTTAACCAGAAAGCTATTATATAATAATTTTCATTTTGAAACCAGGCTGTGAAACCAGAGTGTGAAAAGGACTTAAGAAATTGTATTTCTAAAATACCACTAGAAAAATGAATGACTTGTTGCCTGTCACCTTTCCTGAATGTAGAGTTTGAGGGATACGTGCATGTCCTTACCAGAAAAGCATTGCAAAGAATCTTGTAGTTCTTCTGTCTGCATACTCAATGCTAAATTTTCAGATGTTTTCTCTTTATGGAAACATTTGTGTGAGCAGATGCGTTTTCTTTGTTAATAATTGAGGCCAGTGCATAGTTCCTCACTTACTTCAATATGCTTTTCACTATTCTATTAAAGTTGCTTTGAGGTTGTTTGTTTTTTTTTAAATTGAGCAAGATTTTGTTTTTTTAAGTGGCCTCACACATTTAAATAGTTTAAATGCTACTATTCATTCCAATGAGGGAATGGTATATGCCTAGATAGAGCCTTTCAGAGCATTTTTGGGTGGATCCAGCATATCTGCCACACCTAGCAAACACTGTCTGTATATAAAGAAGATTATTCTGGAAGAAGAATTAAAAGGAATTTAGGAGATTCAGGAGGTTTTTATCTTGCAGTATACGTTGATATATTTTTATTTTGATACTGCTCTCACAGTTAAGAGTAATATGGAAACATTGTCTTAAAAGTGAAAAGGGAAAAGGAAGTATGAGAATAGTTTTTGCATTTGCTACCTATTTGAGGAGGAGAGACTCTTACATCTGATTCTTAAGGGCTCTGACAGTTTCTATTAGTTCTAATAATGGCAATCAAACATGTTGCTCCTTCCCTGTTGATGACTTCTCTCTGTGTGGCTTGTCACTGGTTCCATAAAAGAAACCCAGACTTGTCTCTTTGACCACTTAAGGTTGTTACACTGTACAGGTCCAGTGCATTAGCTGCCTCCAATTTCAGCCCTAAATTATTAGGCTATACTGTAATTGACAGGCAGTAATCTCTGGCAGGGGAATAGAATTGATACTTAAATTTGTATCCTGTTCTGTTGATCCTGCAAGACCTCCTCATCTGGAAGATTTTGTGGTTGTTGTTGGAAGAACATGATTGTTGGAAGAACATGATGAGTTAAAGCAGAGGTAAAAAAAGAGATTATCCTTCCAGCTACAGCTGTAAATTCTATAGCTGAACAACATTGTGTTTATGTAATTCCATAAAAGCTCTTTGTACTTTGCATTTCATTGTTGATAACTCTTGGCAAAAAGATTGTGTGTACTTGCTAAAGGGACAGCCTTGCCCTCTGTTGTAAACTGTTTTATTTTAAAGGTAGCTCTGTTTAGATGTAAAATAAAGAGAAATAAGGGGGGAACAAGTCATGTGTCTAAACTAGTGTCATGATTTTAGTATCGTTTGTGGTATTCAAGATATCTTTATGGCAGAGTGGAGGTATAACACAGGCAACAGGGTCTTTCTTGGACAGCAGTTGGAGGCCTGTAGAGATACCGTAGAGCCTCTGAAATGAAATCTGAATCCCACCTCAGCTGACCCAGAAAATTAAACAAGGAATTCTATCCAAAGTGAATGAAACCAGGATGAGGCCAAGAGTCTATCTAGAATTAAGATCAAACACATCATCAACCCACACAGGATAAATCCCAACCATTTGCTCTTAAAAACGTGCAGGAATAAATAGAATACAATAGCATTTGTTGGTTGTACAATCTGGACAACTTGTAGACAAAAGCTGATAAGAAAAACTATTTGGTTCATTTTTGTACTAAAATAGTAATATGTGTTTTTCTTGCCCTTGGTTGAATTACCAGTTGTTCTCTTTCTGTTCTAGGTTATGGCCAGACTGGTCCAATGGTTCAGAGAGGTGGATATGACTCCATTGCAGCTGCTGTTTCTGGTCTCATGCATATCACAGGACATGAAGTATGTGCTCAACTTACAAATTTTATAGGATCTTTGTGCCATATACTAAAACTTGTTGCTGGATGGAGCAAGTCAGCCTGTGCTAGCACATTTGTCATGCATGTTTTCCTGAGTCCAACAAGAGATCTTATCTCTGTAAATTGAAGAAAATGATAGTGTTTTTGACCTTTGGGTATTTCACTACAGGCTTGCAAAGCCAATACCTGAGAAACAGAAAATGGAAGGGAAATGGTATACTAAATCTTCAGTGAATAAATTGCCAATTTATGCTAACCTGTTAATGGCCACTTCTAGTCACTTCAAGAGCTGTGATAGACACATTGTTGACAGCTGGATGATGGAACCAAATGTGTGTGGGAAGGCTCACTTGTGCTTTGATCCTGATTGATATTCCTTCTTTAAAAAAAAAAAAGGAATTGTGAAGCCACCCAGATAACTGTGTCTTTTCAATCATTCTGCCTGCAAATAAGCAGAGAGATTCCATTAGTGGCTCTGGAAGAGCTTTATGTGCTGTTATTTCTACTGATATCCAAGGTCTTTGGTAGTTGCAGTAGTGCAGGAAGCATTACAGAGGTAGTTTAGTATCTGGATTCCAGGGATACATAGAATGTGTGTCTTCACTTCAGAAAAATGCTGGTCAAATAGGTGTTTATTTAAGCTGTCTTGAATCACCTATAGATGCAGGGAATGTGGTCTCCAAATGTCACTTTCCAAGTGAGGTAGTGTTACAGGTCTGTTCTATGAATCATAAACACTAGATAGTCTTCCGTGCTAGTGCTCCTGATACTTTGGAAGCAGCAGTGCACGTCTTTAGAGTATGACTCTTGCATGTCCTAGAAAAGCAAGGAGTTCATCAAGTTTCTATACTTAGTGTCAGATATTAATGTTTCAGTAGGTAGTTACAAGCTAACCATGCGTGATCTGGACATAACTTTAGTGTAGGATTTATATTCTGCCAATAGACCTGTTTTCTGCCAGTAACAATGACAAACATCAGAACTCTGTGCCTGTGCAATTATTGTTACCAAAGCCCTCCTTTGTATGACAGGAAAAAAAATGGTCAAGCATTGTTTGACTGTCTGCATATTGCCACCATGCTAATAATACACAGTCATAGAACGTCTCATCTCAGAACATAAAGCGACGTGAAGTTGAGTGCAGTCCTTACAGGTAGTTCTCTTCC